GTGTATTAACTGCTGTTATTAATTAATCCTCACTCTTGCCTTGTTCTTGTGAAAGAGGAGTCATTTATTTTCACTTTACAGATGAGGCAACTTAAGTGCAGGAGGGTGAGTGACTTACCCAAAGTTGCCGGCACTGGAGCCCAGGCGGACCTGACTCTGGAACTCACCAGCACCCACAGGGTTGGTGAGTTGTTGGACCGGGGCCTTGACAGGACACCTCCTCATCTAGGCCTCTCTTCCTCAGCTGCGTCTCTTCCAATCTATGGTCTCCTCCGTGCGGGATCTGATTCTGAAACCTCTCAATGAGAGGGGCTTTGGGCCCCTTTACTTCTGGAGACCACTCGGCTATGAACTAAATTTCCCACCCATGTATACCTAGGACCTCTCCGGCTGACATGAAACTATCTTTCCACTGTTCTCGAACCACACAAGGAGCATGGGTGGGAGAGAGGGTTCCAGGCTCCGTTGGTCCACCCTGGGCTTGGCATTGACCCCTGAAGGCTTTGGTCACAGACTTTCTGCAAGCAACACACTCTCCCCCGGTCACTCAGAAGGAGAGCCAGCTTCGGCTCTGACTTGGCAGGAGACCCAGGCAAGTCATTTTACCTCCTTCTGGTGTTGCCCCTCAGCAGCATCCTTTACTTCTTTAAGACTGTTTTCCTCCTCAGCCCCATAAGGGCATCTTCAGGAGAGGCGTGTGGGCTAGAGGCACGTGCAGGAGTCGGGGCCAGACAGACTGGGTTTGGGCCCCATCACTGTCTCTGCTGAGTATCGTTGGGCACATCATGTAATCCATCTGGACCTCAGCCTTGTGATTTGCAAAGCTGGAATTCTAACACCTATCTTTCAGGTAGTCGTGAAGATCGAGATGATGATGCACAGCAAAGTGTCTGGCTCAGAGCAGGTAGGTGTTTAATAAATGGTAGCTATTATTACTTGTACTATGTCACCAGACCACATTTGATGCCTGAAACCCAATTTTACGGTTTAAAAAACATGCCTTGTGAAGAGGGAAAAGCAACTTCGATTCATTCAACTAATCTTTTTTTTTTGAAGCCATCATTCATAACTTATCCATTAAAAAAAAGGAAATGAAAACAAACAATGTACTTTAAAAAATCCAGCTGAGCTACTTGGTTGAAAGAAACATTTCATTGTAAACAAGAATAAGACATACGATTGAGACGTTTGCAAAGATGGCTTGTGATTTTTTTTTAAGTGGGAGTTAGAGGAGAAGCAGCCATGGGTGACTGGCCAGACTGGGCACAAGGTGTTGTAAGCTAAACCCAGTCCTGGGAGGAGGCAGCTTTGAGAGGGCAGCTCTGAGCAGCTGGCCCTGGTGGCAAAGGCTGTCCAGCCCAACACAGGAGTAGGATAGAGAGCGGGGGAGGCCCGTTTAGCCTCCCACTGCTGGGATCCTGCTCAGAGGGATGGGGTGTCCTTCTGATAGGCAGTCAGTGGACCATGTGCCCCAAAATCCTCAGGAAGGGAAAAGGCATCATCTTTCTACACAGCCCCAACCTCTGAACTGTGGTTTGGAGACTGGCTTCTGGTTCTTGTGATGTAGGGAGGGGACGCAGGAGAAACAACTGCTGAGGAGGCGGGGTTTGGGAAGAAGATGAGAATTGAAGCCTTACAGACCTGGGGTGATACTCATCACTTCCAGGGGCGCACCCCTGAGCATGTTGCTTTGTAAAGTCCCTACGACATCTCTCGCAAGGTAGGTAAGCTCAGAGGATCCGTGTTTGCCACAGTCCTGGCACTTGGCATCGCCAATGCATTGCATTCCCACTGTGAAGAACAAGTATTAATCTAACCACCTCTCACCACCTCCCCTGCATGCACCTGGTTCTTGCCACCATACCTGGCTTATTGTAATAACCTACTAACAGGCTTTCCCTGCTTCTGCCCTAGCCTCATACCAGTGATTCTTCACTGGGCAGCCAGAGTGATTCTGTTGGAGTAGATCATGTCACTGCCCCGCTCAGCACCCTACAGTAGTTCCTGCTTCGTCATGTGCAAGCCAAAGTGCCGGCAATGCCTTTGACCTTGGGGGCTATTGCTTTTCCTCTCGCTCACTCCATTCCAGCCAGCTGGCTTCCCGACTGTTCCTTGAGCATGCCGGCACACTCCTGTCTCGGAGCCCCTGTCCTTGCTGTTCCTCTACCTGGAACATCAATTGCATGTTTTTCTGACTGACCTCCTTTGGGCCTTTGCTGAAAAGCCACTTCATTGTGTCCTTCTGGGACCTCCCCATTTCAAATTGCAGTCCCACCCTGTCGGTCTTAATCCTCGTTCCTGCTTTATTGTTCATAGCACTTTTCCTAAACGGACATACTAAAATATCTTTTTCTTATTTCTGTTTTTCGTCTCTCTCCACTAGACTGTGAATTCTATGAGGAGAGGTTTTTAGTCTGGCTTGTTTATTCCTGTATCCTCAGCTCCTAGGACACCACCCAGTGCATCGTAGACACTGTAAGACATTGGTTGAAGGAACAAATGATTATCATAAAGCAAAAGCCTGGACTCTAGTTCTAGAGGAACATGGACTTGAAGTTGGTGACTCAGGCAGGAACTCAGAACCAGGAGACACACCAGGGATCCAGTCAATTAAACTGAAACACAGTTAGGATCCTACCCTATCCCACAGGGCAGGATCTGGGAACCTGAGGGATGCCCGGACAGCAGGAGTGGGGCATGAGATCAGAGTCTGGCCTGCAGCCAGGCTGATGGAGAGTGTCTGGTGCTTCTCAGGTCAGTGTTGGTCCCAGGCTATGTGTCTTGGGGCCAGGACACCCCATACATGGAGACAGAGGGCATGAACGGTAGGTTGCCAGGCAAGGCCTTCAACCACTTAGTAAATGTCAAGCAAACTTATCCTAGCTCTCAACTTATTCCCAGATGTAGGTGTCAGTGGATGCTCCATACTGGTGCAGCTTACAAGGAAAACACAAATGACTAAGGGAAAAAAAGTGAAAATGCTCATTCAGAAATGTGAGCTGAGAGGTTGAGGAATGGCAGATGCCAGAAGCCTATGACCAGGGGATATCTGGGATGTCAAGTGAGACGTCAGCTGAGTGAGCATCTGGGGATTATGTTGTCCTTTCTTTCTCCTTCCTTCCTCCCCTCCTCCCTTCCTCCCTTCCTCCCTTCCTCCCTTCCTTCCCAGGTGAGCTCTGCCCAGACAAACCTTCCTGCCTCGGGAGAAGAAAACGCTCCGGTTAGCCCGCGAGGTGGTGTCTGCAGAAGCCTAGAAAGAGGAATTGGGGCAGGGACGATTTGGCTGGGCTTCCCGAGAGCTGTCCAAAGTACTCTCCGGGAGCTGAGCGCAGCCTTCCTTCTCCTTCACGCTTCCCGAGAACCTAGCCTGTAACCCAGGGCTGCCCCTGCCTGCCTCATTCCAGAAGAGCACATCAGCACATGCGTGAGGGACATGAGGTCCAGAACAATCCAGGGTCAGGGCAGAGCGCCGGTCCCACCGGCTGGAGAAGCTGTTTCCCATCCTGGTTCCTCCTGCACTTGTGGAGCGCTCCTGTTGGCTCTAGGTCCCAGCCCTCCCTGAGTAGCTCTGTGTGCTTTGACAAGCTGTGGAAATGCTCTGAGCCTCAGTGCATTCACCTGTAAAGTGAGGATGATAAACACAGAACTTAATTCAGAGGGCTGTTCTGAGGATCACCTTAGAAGGCATGTAGGAAGTGTCCTGTGAAGGTTAAACTCCCAACCTTGTTACAAGGTTCAGGAACAACGATGCTTTCTGATTTGGTGACCTACGGTGTCCCCCTCATTAAACACCCCTTGAGCTTTTATATTTTAATTATCACGATTTCTATTCTTCAAGTATGGAGAGACACAGGGGGCCAAGTCCTTAGGTCAGATCACAGGACTGCTCTGCCTAAGGGTAGCCAGCGCAGCAACTGCGACCTGGCAGAGAGAGGGCTAAGACTTGTGGAGCGCGGACGCACGACCCGCTCTGGCCTTAGGACAGTGCTCCCACCCAGGAGAATTTTAGGGCGGAGCCCTTCGGGAGTGGGGACGTGGGGAGGTCAAACGCCTGGAGGGGGCGGTAGCACACGCAAGGTGAGGACTTCAGTCTGGCCTGGGTTTGGCAAAGGGCGGCTGCACCGTCTGGTGGGGAGAGCGGGGAGGCCCTAACGGCCAGCCGGACACCCGAGCACCAAGGAACTATTGCAGCGCCCGCAGCGTCTTCGGCTGCCCCTTCAGGCTGGGTCAGGGCCTCCCGAGAACCCGCGCAGAGCAGGAAAGCACAGGCTGCAGGTTCCTCTATGCGCCTCCGTGGCGCATTCACCGCCCAGACCTCCGAAAAGCAGTCCCAAAGCACTGGGCAGGTGCTGCAGGAAGCGCTCGGGAGAGCAGCGGCTGGGCAGTCATCGTTCCCCAGTCTCTGTCCTCGGGCAGCGGCAGCCCGTGCGGCGGAGGATCAGGGACGCGTGTGTGCGTGTGCTGGAAAGGCGGCCCTCCCCGCTGCCGCCGCAGCGCCAGCGCCTCCCCCTCCCCCGGCGCGCACAGCCCGTCCCCGTCCCCGGAGGCGGCTCGAGCCGCTGCTGAGCAGCCTCGCCTTCGCCTCCCGCGTTTCCTGCCGCCTGCCCTCCCCCGGCCGGGCTCCAGGAGCTGCCGCTGAGCAGCGCCCGGCGGGAGAGCAGCTCAGAGCGCGCACGGGGGCGGGCGGAGGCGGCCCGGTTCTAGGCGGCCGTGCGGGAGAGAGGCGCGCGAGGAGACGCCGGCCCCCCTCTCCTCGTTTGCTCGCTCGCTCCCCGCCTCCCGCACTCCGCTCGCTCCCACCCCTTCCCAGCGTGATTGATCCGTCACGGGCGCCGCCGCTGCCGCCGCGGCCGTTCTGAGCCAAGCCGGAGCCCGAGCCGGAGCCGGAGCCGGGGCCGGCGCCATTGCGCGGGCGCCGCGGGGAAAGCTTGGCGCGGGGCGGCGGGCCGGGCCAGGCCATGCGGGCCGAGTGAGCCGGCGCCCGCAGCCCGCGGCGCGGCATGGCTTCCCCGCGGAGCTTCGGGCAGCCCGGGCCGCCGCCGCCGCCGCCGCCGCCCGCGCGCCTGCTGTTGCTCCTGCTGCTGCCGCTGCTGCTCCCGCTGATGCCCGGGGCCTGGGGCTGGGCTCGGGGTGCCCCCCGGCCTCCGCCCAGCAGCCCGCCGCTCTCCATCATGGGCCTCATGCCGCTCACCAAGGAGGTGGCCAAGGGCAGCATCGGGCGCGGCGTACTTCCCGCGGTGGAACTGGCCATCGAGCAGATCCGAAACGAGTCGCTCCTGCGCCCCTACTTCCTTGACCTGCGGCTCTACGACACCGAGGTGAGTGTCCGGCTACCCGCGCCGTCGGGGCTGTGGTGGGCAATGGAGGAGGGGAGTGTTGGACAGAGGCAAGCTTTGGTCCTTGGGCAGAGTCCTGATTGACCGGTCCGTACCTGCCGAGAGCATCTCGAGCTGGTGCCCAAGCTCACCCCCGGAGTCTCACCAGGCTGGGCTCGCACAGCTGCTACCAAGATTGTTGAGCATCTCATTCCTCTGGGATTGTATGTGTGTATGTATGTGTTTGAGGTATAGAAGAAGACTAGGGTCTCCTTTAACCAGAGGAGTGGAGAAGGTGGCAACTGGACCCCCCAGAAGGCCTGCAGTGGTTGCCCCTGCCCAGGTCCCGCTGGTAGGGCTGTGGAGTGCCGGGTGGGAGGAACAGGCGCATTGACTGCAAACTGGGCCACCTTGGTTTGGAGAGGCCCCGGGCCTGCTCGCGGGCCCCCAGGAGAGCCGAGCCGCGCTCTGAGGTCCGGAGGGCTCCGGGACCCGAGAGGCCAGTGCGCGCAGCAGGGCTGGGTTCATGGTGCGCGCCAGCGGCTCGGGGTCCACACAGCGCCGGCAGGTGTGGGGTCTCTGGCTCTGCAGCGCTGCTACCTGGATGTGGCCAGCACTGCCTGTGGCCGGAGGAGACCCTCTCGGGTTAGTTGCTCAGAGGGTGCCCTGAGCAGGTCTCGCCCCGGATGCGCGGGGGTGTCCAGCTGCGCTGCTGCTGTTGGCCCGGCAGCTGCAGGCGCAGCTTCTCTGGGCGCAGACTTGAAGCACGGACTTGGAGCGCAGTAGCGGGCTTGCCCTCCCGGCCTCCTTCTCCGAGGGGAGCCGAAGAGCCGAGAGCTTCCCATCTCGAGCCCCCTCCTCACACCCTCGGTTTGGGTACCGACTGAAGCCCCAGCTCGGACCTTCACCGCAGCTAGGGGCCTGAGGTGCGCAGAGGGGGCTCGGAGGAGCGATTGCCGGCCGCGCGAGGTCGGGTTTGCGAGTTTTTCGGACTAAGGTTGCCCCTACGCTCCGGCCGCAGAGTCTGAGACGCGGCCTGAAGGGGGCAGTGATTTCCTGTGCAGTAAGCTCTGTCGGCGCCTCTTCCACCGCGCCAAGCCTGGCGGAGGCGCTGGGCTCGACTCTGGCTTCCCGGGGCTCTCCGGCCACTTAAGCTAGAGCCCAGATGTTAAGACCCCATCGGAGAGGAGGGTCGCGTTGCCACGCTGATCGTTCAGCAGGGGCTTTGCTTCCGTCTCTGTCTGGCCCTTTTTTGGTCCCTGGAGAAAGGGCAGAAATCTCGATTGCATCTCATTCCCGGTCATTCCCCCCCCCCCCCCGCCCCCTTCACGGATGAACCAGCCTGCTCTGTACTGTAAATAAAAGGTGAAGGAACGGGTGGCAGTTGGTGGCGGGGCAAAGGCTGCTGCAAGCCAAGAGGCTTCCTCTCTGCTCGGGGAGGATGCAAGCTGGAGGGCTGTGCAGAGCGAACCCGGGCGTGGAATCATTTTTGAATGACATTCCCGACGCCCTCATCTTTGCCCTACCACTTCAAGTTCTCTGGGGGACTTGCCCTGCACACGTAAATGGAGAGGAGGATGCAGTTACTCCGGGGCACGTCTTCTCTGCACTGCTTCTCTGTTGCTCCCATGCATATTCCTCTCGAAAGGGACACGGGAGAGCCAGTTCTTGGGAGACAAAAACATTTGTAGACAGGGCAGCTCTGCTTGCATCATCACCAAATATTGTCAGCTGCATAGTGTTTTCATCATCCATTTACCCTGTCAGAAAGCTTCCCTGGAAGAGAGTTCCCGTTCCCTTGCTTGTGGCAGTTAAAGGGATGGGTGCTTGGTTTCAGGGTGTTGGTCGAAGCTTTTAATTTTATTTTTTCAAGTGTGTCTTGATGATTTTCTGAGTGAGAGAGCCCAGAGGCAAGAGGATGAGGCTGGTGGAAGGCTCCTTGGTTGGTGGGACTATGTGCGAAGCATCAGGAAGGGGGACAGGGGTAGTATCAGCCTCATGCAAACAGGAAGCACCTCTAGCTCTGTGAAGGGGCACAGAGCATGGGCGTTGGCGTGGGTTGGACCTGGGTGCCAGTGAGAAACAGGTTAACTTCCCCCTTGGTGACCTTGAGCGAGGTATCTAATCTCTCTAAGCCTGGAGCTCCACACGGGAAGAAGCGGAGCTGTTCTCTGCACTGGGCAGGCTGGTGAGGTGGCGCTTGAGGGAGATAACACGCCGGAGTGGAAAACGCTTTGAGCCGGTGGGCTCAGAGGCCTGTGCTCTGCCTGGCGTGCTGTAAGCACTAAATAAATGTTTTCTGCCCTCCTTCCTTTGTTGTCCTTTGGCATGGATTCACAAGTAAGACCTCGAGACGTCAGGTGTGATAAAATGGTCACAGCAAAAAAAAGATTAAGACTGCTTATTTGTTTTTCTTGTTCTTGAAAGCTCGTAGAGAGTCACTGAAGTTACCACCAGAAAAAAAGGAATTCCGCCTTATGGTCAAATAATTATGTTATCTCCTGCCGGAGGTGTCACATTTGGAAGAATAGAGTGCCCAGGTGATATAATACCTAGTCTTTTTAAGTAGCCTGTCTTGAGAGTAGAGGTACTTTCTGTCTAAGCTGAAGTGAAGGGAAGATCAGTCTGTGTGATTGCAGCAAAAGCTACAGTCCCCTGAAGGGTGTTGAGGGCCTGCATTGGAGCTTGTGGGGCCTGTTTTATTCAGCTGGGCTGTTGTTCTGGCTCGTGTGTCCCTAATCACCTGCTGGCTGTGTCACTTGTTGAACACAAGATGGATGTGGCGAAGTGGTTTTGGCTTGTCGTTGCTGACATTTGCTGTCAGTCAGTGGCTGGAGACTGTGGGCGGGGGGATGGACCTGTGTCCACACAGCCTCCAAGGAGATGGAGGTTTAGCAAGGAATGGATTAATCTGATCACTGGGACAGCTTGTCTCAGTGCAGGAGCCTCCTGCCTGCATCTACCCATGTTTGTCCCTCTGCTGTAATTAGAATAGTGACAGAACTTCGAAAGCCCCATTCAGTGACTTGTGTTGGCAAAAATGAAACATCTCATCAGAGCATCTGCTAGTCAAGACCTCTTTTCTCTGGCGTACCTCACATTACCTTAGCAAATACTTCTTTTTGTATTTCAAGGAAGATTTGAATGTAAAAGCATAAGCAAGACGATAGGTAAAAGGAAGCATCAGAAACCCTATAGAAACAGAAATTACTGCACCAAGAACCTGAGTTAAGATGCTCATTTTGGAGTATTAAATTTTAACTCGGAGCTTCCTGGCAGTCAAAGTAAGAAGGTAAACATTGTGGATTACATTTCTTACATGTTTGATTAAAAGACTCTGAGTGATAGTATCTATCTTTAAAAAAAAAGGTTTTTCAGGAGATTCAGAAATGTTCTTCACATGGTTGTTTCTCAATCTTGGTAACCACATTAATAAAATAAATTATAACCAAGAAATTAATTTTTTAATTGTTGGCTTTTTCACATTGGTACTACTCATTTTAGAAAATGGAAAATGATAGAGAAACATGAAGAAAAATAGAATTATCCACAATGCACCTGCACAAAAGTAATCACATCTAAGAACTAGCATCATTCCCTTTCCGGTTGCCAGTGTTTACTCTTTATGTACTTCTGTCCTTTTATATTTTGTTTCATTCAGGTAGCCTTATATCATGGGTATTTCTTCATGTCCTCAAACCCTCTTTGCAAAAATGACTTTTGTGGCTGTGTACCATTCTGTACCATTTGGGTGCACAAGTATGAAATCATTCCCTTCTTGTTGGATTTATGTTTCCCCGCTTGCTTACTTTTTAAAATTATCCTGTCATAAACTTAGGAAAAAATCAGGAGCTGAAGGAGCACATTCCAGGTGTGCACCTGCCTCTCGGGGAGTCTGCCCGGATGCAGGGTCCAGAGAAAACCTAGCGATTGGTGAGCGCACCCTTTTCTTGAGTGGCTTTGCCAACTATCTGTTCTCTATTCACTGTGCTTTAGAAGGGACCCAAATGGCTGTTGGATGGAGGCCGAGCTTTTCACGGAGGTCTGAGTACGGCTCAGCAGGCATTAACTGAGTGCCTACTGCAGCTGCCAGTGCTGCAGAAGGAAGTGAAACCCAGCCCCGGGCTCGGGAGAGGAGCTGTTGCGCAGGGGAGAACGGAGAAAGGCCGTATTCTTCTTTTCAGGGGCAGACGGTGATCGTGGTGATGGTTGCATAATTCTGGGAATATACTGAAAACCATAGAATCGTATATTATAAAAGAATGAGTGTTACAATGTATGAATTAGAGTTCAATAGAACTGCTGGTAGAAATAAAAAGGTAGAAAATGGTCTCTTTTATTATCAAGCTCACATCTTACAGCCCCACTGCCCAATCATGGCACCTTGCCCTCAGTAAGTATTGCTTAGGAGTCTTGTTGCAAGTGATAGAAACCCACCTTTAATTGGTTCAGATGACTGAAAAATCCCAGAGTAGACTGTGTGCAGGCGTGGCTGAATCCAGGGAGGCAAACGACATCTTTAAAAAAATCTCTCTCCGTCTCTTAGCTCTGGTTTCTTCTGTGTTTGACCTCACTCGCAGGTAGGCTCTCTGCATGTGGCGGCAGAGATGGCCCTGAGCAGCTGCAAGTTTGCGCATTCCCAGTTTAGAAACTCCAGTAAGGGGGGTGTTTCTCTCCCAACTGTTTCAGCAAAAATCCCAAGATCTGCTCTCATTGGCTTGAATTGGGTCATATGTCCCTCCCTGAACCAATCACATGACGCTCATGGGCCTAGAACCTCTGCCGGCCTTTGGTGGAGGTGAAACCGACAGTTAACAGCAAACATGTTTAGGGATTAGATCATACAGTCTAGAGATGTAGGCATAGGCTTTAACTAGTCAGTGAATGTTTCATTTACTTCGATGGCCACATATTTTATAGTCAAAGATTAAGAAAATATGTTAGTCACGTGTAGTCAAAGATGATACAGTGTGGTAGTTGTGTCCTAAAGGTCTGCCTATAAA